ACCTGTAACAGCCCCGGCCTGAGATTCTCAATGCTTGCTTTAAGAAAAAGTGACTGAGGCTAGCAGGGCTCTCGGGAGTGTCTGTGCACTGCCTCCTGACTGCAGAAACACGAGGGTCTTCACACACAGTTCAGGAGCGCAGGACCACGCACGCAGCCTGGATGGTAATGGGCTGCGACCTGTGCTACCTTGAGCTGCCAGCTCGCACTGGGGGCTGCCCTGGGGTCCTCAGTGCTGCCCTCATCATGAGAGAAGCTGAAGGACACCTGGTGCCCACCACCTGGTGGTGCCCCTCCCCTGCAGGTGCTGGACCTGCTGCTCAAACGGGAGCCCCAGCTCAGGCAGAGGCACCTCAGCTGCCTGCTGGCAGTGCCCAGGGCACATACCCCAACCCTTGGCCTCAGCCTGTGTGGTAGGTGCCAAGAGGCCCAAGCTCAGAGGTTACTGGAAGGGCTAAAAGGGTGTGCTACGCCCACACTCAGCCTGGGCCTGGTCCTGGCAAGTTTGCAGTCACGCGTATTTGCTACCTCCCCCCCCACCAACAAAGCACCTTTGCCACCTGTGGTTTGGGCAGTGCCAGCTCCATCTGTAGGAGGCCGGATGATGTCTCAGGGCATTTCCGTGCAGACCAGGGGTCCCTGGGAGCTAGCAGGGGGGCCCAGCATACAAGTCCCTGGAAAATTGGTGGCTGGAGCTCATTCACTGGACAGACACATACGAAGCACCTACTGTGTAAAGCTGCTTTTGCAGGCACTTCACATGATTCACTGAACAGAGCAGACAGAAACCCCGGCCCTTCTTAGGGGCTTCCATCCTATACAAGTGCCAGCAGCCCCAGTGGATGCCACGGGCAGGCAATGCACACAGCCGTGGCACATGCCATCCCTGCGGATTCAGATGACTCCTCCCCTCTTGGGGTGGGGCAGCCAACCAGGGGCCAACTGAAAAAGTGCTGCACTCTGGGTCAAGGACAGGGCTGGCAGAGTGCCAGTCTCCACAAACTGTGGATCCACTAGAGAGTTCAGGCCTGGGGCATCCTCTGCAGAAGGATCCCACGAGAGTCCATTCCCCACGACAGGCCTCCACTGCTCACCACTGTGCCTTGATCGGCCTGGACGAGTCCGCCCACACCTCCATCATGCCCAGTGTGAAGAGGGGCCGGAGACCCACCACTCCTGAGAACAGCATCCTTGCGAAGACCCAGCTGTGAGTACACAGCAGGCACAGCCCCTCAGGCCCAAATGAGGATTCAGCAGCAGATGGGATTCCACCCCCACACCCGTGGCCTCTCCAGGTGCCCACAGGCCCTGCGAAGGCTACTCCAAAGGCAGGGAGGTGGCAGAGGCCAGCCCAGCCCAGCCCTCCCCTCTGGGTACCCAGAGGAAGGCCCTGGCCACTGGCTCCACAGCCCATCACCTGGAGGTGATGGAGGCCAACCCAGTCCTGCCTGGAGGCCCTGGTGAGCTTGCCCAGTGCTGCTCCAACCTCTTCCTGAGCCCACAGGGCAGAGCCAGGGGTGGCCCAATGGCCTGAGACGAGAGGACCGGGCTGAGAGGAGCCTCCAGAGAAGGCACATCAGACACAGACTCCTGTCAGCTCAGGCATCCTGGCCTAAGGAGGCAGGGCCCCCAAAAGAGCCAGGTCATGGCGCCATCTCCAAGCTCCCAGCAGGCCTGCTGCAGGTCAGAAGGGCCACATCCCTTCTTGGGTCCCTGACCTCATTGGGCCTCACCTGAAAACAGGCACCCAGGCAGTGGCCATGGACAGGCAGGCCACGAGCCTCGACAGGGATGGGCCCCAGGTCACAGGGAGGGCAGTCTTTATTTCTGGAAGGGCCCTGGAGCAGGCGGCTGCCTCTCATCCACCCGTCCTTCTGTCCTCAAGACAGGTGCTATGGGGCCACAGCGGCATCAACAGCCTCCCTCAGCTGCTGCAGCAGCTCTTTGGGCCGCAGTGAGAACGCGCTGGTGTCCACTCTCTGGAAGTTGGGGTGTGCAATCAAGGAGGCCAGCACCTCTGTGATGCGCCCAGCATCAAAGGCCGCCTGTTCGAAGCCCAACCCAGCACCGTCCTCAGCGGCCGCCTCCCTCAGGACCAGGAGCCTCTTCTCAGCGATGACCTTGAGGAAGTGGTAAAACTCTTCAAAGTTGATGCCCGAGCAGGACCTCATGATGACCTGGGCAGAGGGAAGAGGCCAATGAGATGACACCATGGACACAGTCCAAGTTGCAAAGGATCCGACATGCGCCCAGTCCCCAAGGACAAAGAGGGGACCAATAAGACAGAGGCGCTGAGAAGCCGGGCAGTGACCAAAGGAATCTGAGCCATGCAGCCTGAAAGCCTCCCCCAGGGCTCAGCCCAGGCTGTCCCACAGTCACAGCCGGCACCTACCCACAGCTCGGCCTGACAGCCACACCCGCCCTGAGCCTGCAGGCCTCCCAGGGACCTGGCACTGATAGCCTCCACACACAGCTGCTCCACCTGGCAGTGGTGGTGCCAGTCGGGCATGGAGTCCCTCCACTCGCTGACCTCTTCCTGCACGGCACATAGCTCCTGCTGCAGGAAGCGCCACATGTTAGCCAGGTTGAAGCCATTGACCCAGTTGTGGTTGATGGAGATGGTGTCGTCCTGGAAGGGGCACAGTACAGGCAGGCCTGAGCCCATGGCAGGTGCCCCCAACTAGCCCACATCTCCTGCACCAGGAACCCACTGTGGGGTCCAGCCCTCTGCTGCCAAGAAGGCCTTCCTGTCTCCCAGCAGGGCTTGCTCAGCAGGGAAGTGGGTGGTGGGCTCGGACCACCTCAGCCAGTGAACCCAGAGCAAGTAGACCCAGGGACCGGGAGGGGGTGAAACAGAGGTTAGGCCTCAGTGACACCACCTTGTGAAAGGGTCAGCCTCACCCATGAGCCACCCCATTCCAGCCCCACTCTGGCTGGGAGAGTGGGTAGGTGGAGCTGCCGTCTTCCTGCAGGAAAGCCCCTGATAGGGGGCAGGAGAGCAGCACATTACCAGGTTGTGCACCTGGTGGTGCCAGCCACTGGGCACAAACACCATCTCGCCCGCCTCCTGCGTGATCTCCAAGGGTGGGCCCGCAAGCTGGCTCCGCGGGTGCAGGTGCGTATCGCAGAGTGCCGGGGAGGTCACGTCATAGGGCAGGTTGCCGTGGCGGTCCCGCAGGGCCTCTTCCTGCCCTGGGGGGAAGAGGAGCCACTTCTTCCTCCCACAGACATTGACAGACCAGCTGAAGGAGCGGAAGATGTCAGCATGGAACGGGGACCTGCAGCAGCAAGAGCGCCTGGTTCATGCCCGTAGGGGCTGGTATGGGCTTTGTTTGGCACCCCAGAGGCCTGGTCCAACTGAAGGAGGGGTGGCCCCTTGGTCTCAAGGAATGGCACCTACTGTGAAGCCTGTGCCAAGCAGACCCCTCCTGCCACCCTGAGCCTCCCGGTCTGCTCTGTCACCGGGTCCCTTTGGGTTCCACATCTGTGGCCTCACCAGCTGCCTGCAGGCCCTGCGTAGACAAAGCGGTAGTCATCCACATCCAGTGCGTCCCAGAACTCATTCAGCCAGTCGGATGAGAAGTACACAGGCAGGGTGAAAACGTCCTCCACCGGGAAGTCCCTGTGAGGAGGGCGCAAGGGCACCACCGACAGCACGTGAGGCACGAGGACTAGGGCAGCACGAGTGGGGCAACTGAGATCACTTGGCTTCAGTGGAGCTTTCAGATGGCTGCAGCCCCCAAAGAGCCCCAGCACCTACTCTGAGCCAGCTGCTGGTGGGGGAGTGGGGTGGGGGCAGTCTGACCACAATGGTTCTGCTTATGAAAAAGTACTGATCATGCCTATAATCCCAGTGCTTTGAGATGCTGAGGTGGCTGCATCACTTGAGCTCAGGAGTTCAAGAACAGCCTGGGCAATATGGCGAAACGTAGTCTCTTAAAAAAAAAAAAAAAATTAGCCGGGCGTGGAGGTGCATGCCTGTAATCCCGGCGACTAGGGAGGCTGAGGGGATCTATCTCAAAAAAAAAAAAAAAAAAAAAAAAAAAAATACTGATCTCCCAAAGAAGAACACTTGCAGCCATGCGGAAGACAATCCAGTTTCTTTTAAACAGATTAAAGTGCCTCATGGGGAAAAATAGCTCCCCTTTGTGCAGCCAGGGGCCACCTTCATCAGAAAGGCCTCTGGGTTCCCGCAGCGCTAGGAAAGGCAGCGCCTCGGTGCGTCCCAAACCCCATTACCTGCACAGGTGCCAGTCTTTGAGGTAGAGACAGCCCCTGGGAGAGGAGTAGCCCCCCTCGATGTACTCTTTCCAGTAGGTGATGTAGTCTCTGAGAGGCATGTGCTCTTTGGGGTTCGAGTTGTATTCTTGGACCCCACAGTTTGCAACTGGTACAACCACGTCTCCTGAAATGAAAGTCAGGGACGGTCCATGCCATCTCCCTGGGCCCCGTCCTCACTCCAAACCGTCTGCAGAGGAACTCTCCAGGGCCACGCGCCTGGCCCCCCTCACCCTCCCTGGTGCCCCTCTCTAGGCAGAGGCCTCCTGGGCCTGGGTCCCGCCGGCCTGTCCTCCCCGCCCGGGGTCTGTGCCCGCCGCCCCACCGTAGGTCCGTAGCAGGTGGTCGAAGTCGGGCCTCCCCGCGGGCGTCACCCAGCGCCGCCGGCTGCCCCAGCCCTGCGTGAAGGCGCTGGAGAACACGCAGGGCAGGTTGGGCAGGAGGAAGCCCCGCACAAAGTCGGCGTAGGAGAAGGCGCCCGGCTCCGAGACGAAGGCTACCCGGCCCGGAGCCTGGCCGACACCGGGGACACCACCCCCCAGGCCTCGGAAGTGGCGGTCAGCAAGGGCGAGCGTCTCGCGGTCCATCCAGCTCCGCACGGGTCGAAGGACCCTCCTCCTCACTTCCGCCGGAGCGGAAACGGTAAGGACCAGCCTCGAAACCAGAAGACAGAGAGCGCCGCGTTTCCGCCCGACCAGCCCCTGGGGCTTCGGCCCTACACGCATGCGCGCAGCTCGCCGCGGTCTTCACTGCGCAGGCGCCGAGGGGTAGAGGCGACGCGAACGCCTGTGGGTCACGTCTGGCTTTTCCCAGGTGAGCGACAACGGTGGTCTCTTTGGGGCCCGGCCCAAGCTATAGTGTACTCCCTCGGCTCATTCCGCGCGCTGTGGCTGACACCCCGAGTCCTCCTTCCCACATCCCCGGGGGGTGGGGAGTATGCGGGCTGCGCTGGAAGAGGGGCGGAGACAGAGGCGGTTCTAGGGGTGGGAGGGCGGTGGTGCGGGGGCGCCCAGGGATGGTGGGACCCAGAGGGAGAGCTGGAGGGCCCTGGGATGGTGGGATCTGGCGGACATGGTAGGGTCCTGGAGGGGACGGTGGGGACCTGGAGAGGACGGTGGCACTTGGAGGGGATGGAGACAGTGGGGATCTGGAGGGGACGGTGGGACCTGTAGTGGATGGAAAGAGTTGGGACCTGGAGGGGATGGGAAGAGTGGGGACCTGGAGGGGATGGTGGGATCTGGAGGGGATGGGGAGAGTGGGGACCTGGAGGGGATGGTGGGATCTGGAGGGGATGGGGACAAGTGGGGACCTGGAGAGGACGGTGGGGACCTGGAGAGGACGGTGGCACTTGGAGGAGTTGGGGACATTGGGGACCTGGAGGGGACAGTGGGGATCTGGAGGGGACAGTAGCACTTGGAGAGGATGGAGACAGTGGGGACCTGGAGGGATCAGTGGCACCTGGAGGGGACAGTGGGATCTAGAGAGGATGGTGGGGACCTGGAGGAAAATGGTGGGGGGGCCTGGAGGGGGCAGGGTAACCTAAATGGGAGAATGGGGCCCACAGAGGACCTGGAGGGCATGGCAAGGGGCCCCAGGGGATGACGGGTGTCTGGAGAAGATGGTGCGGAATGAGGGAGGGTGTGAAATGAAGGTGTGGTGGGAGTGTGGGTAGGCATTTGGGGCTGTGTACACATGAGCGGGGCTGAAATGGGAGGACGTTGGAGTAGTGACATGAGTAGTGTTTTGCCGAGCTTACAACTGGAGTTACCCCAAAAGTGGCGGCAAGGGAGTTTCCCACACTGTCCTCAGGTGGGACCAGTTGGGATACCAAAGAAATAAGTGCTAAATGCATGGTGAGCCCAGGGCGGTTTTTTTGGTGGGGGATGGGGGGGAGACAGGGTGTGCAGTGGCGCAATCACAGCTTACTGCAGCCTCCACCTCCTGGGCTTGACTAATTCTCCTGCTTCAGCCTCCCAAGTAGCTGGGACTACAGGCATGAGCCACTATGCCCAGCTTAGTTTTCTGGGTTTTTTTTTTTTTTTTTTTTGTAGAGACAGGGTCTCTGTGTTGCCCAAGCCAGTGTCGAACTCTTGGGCTCAAGCGATCCTCCTGCCTTAGCCTCCCTGAGTGCTGAGATTACAGGTGTGAGCCACTGCGCCAGGCCCTGCCTAGAACTTTTGTTAGGGGAACTTTCATATAGAGTGGGCTGCAGCAGTCCTCGAGATGGGCAGTAAGGGAAAAGGGATGTCCTGCCTAGGTATGTCTCTTGGAAGAGGGATGGGTTATGCAGTTTATAGGAAGGTTTCAGGAATTTGGCTCAGGGCCAAGGTCATTTTCTTTGTAGTAAACCTAGATACTTTCTTCCATGCCTGGAAATGTTCAAGGCCCTGGATTGGGTTGAAGCCTGGTGGGGAAAACCTGTGGTTGGGGCACAGAGGGGTCAGGGTACTCTGTGATTTTCAGCCAGGACACAGAAGTGGGGGCCAAGGGGGACCCTATGTGATGTATGTCTTGGTGTGCTGGAGAAATCAGCTCAGACCTACCCACATGGATGCAGAGGGGAAGATAGCAGATTTATTGCCCGTGAAGCCTGGCAGGCTGTGTGCGCATAGGCACTCTGTGAGAGAGTGCAGAGTCTGGGCAGCATTTCCCAGGCATCTTGACAGGGAGACGGAAGGAGGAGCAGTTAGAACCGCTCATCTCTCGCAGAGAAAGGAGAGGCAGCTTGTGCTGGTTTGCACACAGTGAGAGGCCTTTGAGTTAGGTTTGGAGGTCTGATGACAGTCTAGGGGCCATCAGACCGTGACTGTGTCTTGTAAAATGTGGACACTGGGCTGTCTCATTCCAGACCAAACAGGCATGCTAAGGGAGAGAGGGGCACCTGCCTTCCCTTTATGAAGCAATGGAAATGTTTTATTTACCCTTATGAGTGGGGATATGGGAGGTTCTAGGAGTGCTGGGGCTCAGCCTTGCTGGAAGACTCTTTCCAAGGGGTGTGAGGTTTACCCAGGAGAACAGGGAGGAGCAGAAGAGGGAGGACCAAGGTCTGAGGAGTTGGAGGGAGGACTAGGAGGAAAGTGACTTTTGGGAGTCTGAGTCCAGGTAAAGGTGGGATATGGGGGCAGGGACAGGAGGTGGAGAGTTGTTTTGGGGATTGTGTGATTCAATGTGTGCTATGATCCCTTCCTGGTCAGCCCCATTGTGACTTGTGTGGTCACGGTATGCAATCGTTTATTGGTTTTTTTTTTTTTTTACACTAGAGAATCAGAATGTCTGGAGAAGTTACAGTGCGGAGAAAGAATCACCTCCAGTTCCATCCAGAGACGAGTGGGTTTTTTTGCTTTGTTTGTTTGTTTGGTTTTTGAGACGGCATCTTACTCTGTCACCCAGGCTGGAGTGCAATGGCACGATTTTGGCTCACTGCAACCTCCACCTCCCAGGTTCAAGTGATTCTCCTGCCTCAGCCTCCTGAGTAGCGCCTCCCAGGTTCAAGTGATTCTCCTGCCTCAGCCTCCTGAGTAGCAGGGATTACAGGCGCGTACCACCATGCCCGGCTAATTTTTGTATTTTTAGTGGAGACGGGTTTCACCATGTTGGTCAGGCTGGTCTCGAACTCCTGACCTCGTGATCTGCCCGACTTGGCCTCCCAAAGTGCTGGGATTACAGGCGTGAGCCACCACGCCTGACTGAGATGACTGGTTTTTATTTCCTGGTGCAGAGCCGGCTTTTCCACGTTCCTTCACATTCATTCATTCCTTCATTCTCGCTCTCTGCTCTTCTGTCCCCCCAGTCCTTGCCTATACGTTCACGCGCATGTGCACACACACACACGTACACAGAGTCTCTTTCTCCATCGTGTATAATATATATATGTAAACTTTTGCTGCTTTTAGCCTTTTGTTTTTTACTTGACAATATGCTGTAGCATCTTGCCACATACTGACCTCAATATTGACAATTAAATTGACCTTAATCGACCTTGGTCCCTGGTCCGCAGGGTGCCCCCTGGGGTCAGTGTCACTGCTGTATACACAGGAGGCCTGGAGTGTTATCAGCTCTCATGGAACTGGAACACAGGCTTGTGTCACCCAGAGCCCCCTAGGTCAGCCCTGGAATCGCTTGGGAATGGCAAGAAATCCACATTCTTGGGCCCCACACAGTACTCCATTAGGTTGTTTTTATTGTTTTTGTTTTAAGACAGGGTCTTCCATTGTCACTCAGGCTGGAGTGCAGTAGTACAATCTTGGCTCACTGCAACTTCTGCCTTCTGGGCTGAAGTGATCCTCCTACCTCAGCCTCCCAGAGTGCTGAGATTACAGGTGTGAGCCACTGTGCCTGGCCAGGAGGGGTTTTAAGTCAGCACTTTGGAGAAAATGCAGTACGCTTTGTGCCGAATGTGTGCTCCTCTGTCACTGTGTTGAATGCAAACAGCTCCAATGAGCGTATCTGCACCTTATGGCTAGAGTTGGGAACCTCTGAGGGAGTGGAAAGAGGGTCTGGGGAGGAGGGGAGGGGAGCCTGGAAAGATTGGCTGCACCCTACCGCCCCTGTGGGCACACACAGCCACCACTGTTCTCACTGAGCTTCTTGGTCGCGAGTTAGTGGAAAGTGTGCAAGATGTTTGTTCTGTGACTGTGGAAATTAACTAAAAATAGGTTGTTTACTGGATACTGAGCCTCACTCAGGGGATCCTTGAGTGATGGAAATGCTGAAAGAGACCCATTGTACAGATTATCCTGCGTGCTGAGCCATCCCTGTGCTGCAGACTTCCTCCTCAAGAGCGTCACTTGTGTGGGTTGGCTGCAGACACCTTTGGGCCCCTGGCCATGACCTCCCTCGAGGATTCAGCTGTGTGTTCTCAGGTTCAGCATGGGTCTCCAGGCCCATACCTGCACTGGAGGAGGCAGGTTGCAGATTGCAGCAGGCAGGGACACCGTGAGGGCTCCAGGACTTAGCCTAATTGCAGAACTGTGTGGTACAGGAGGGCATTGGCACAGCCCTGTTTCCATGTGGTGTGGTTGTGGTCGACTCAGCACAAATTCACTGGGTGCCTATGGTGTACAGCGGGCCTTGCGGCCCTCCCATGACAGTTGCCTTCTCTAGTGTGACAGTCATGAAAATACCAGCTCTCTTGAGTTTTGCTTGGGCCGTGGTTGGTGACAGTGCCTTAGGAAGGTGAGGAAGCCCTCTGAACAAAGACCTGAGGAGTGGAGCCACCAATGAGACTTCCTGGCATGGAAAGGCTGCTGGGAGCAGAGGGCAGGGGAAGGCCAGGGTGGGGAGGCCACACGTCCCGCAGAGCCCAGGAGGCTGTGGTGAGGAACTTGGATCCCATTCCAAGTACACAGGGAAGGGCTTTGGGCAGAGAAGTGACATATTCTAATTCTGTTCAATGACTGTCTCATTGACTGCTGGAGGGGGAGTGGGTGATGGGGACAGCATGAGGTCAGGAGGTTGCCTGAGAGGTTGTCCAGGTGTGGAGAGAGGGAGGACTGCCTTGGATGGTAGAACTGTGGAAAGTAACTAAAAGTAGATTGTTTCCTGGATATTGAGTATCACTCAGGGGTCACACATATGATGGAAAGACTGAAAGAGAACCATTGTACAGATTGCGATGTGTGATGAGTGAGTCCCTGTGACTACGACTCCTTCCCCAAGTGTGTTGCTTGTGCTGGTTGGCCCAGACAATACCTGTGCCAGGTCAGTGGCGTGGTCTTGGGGTGGAAGGCGGGGACACAGCTGCCAGGACATGCTCATGGCATGTTTGTGAGGGGGAGGAAGAGAGGAGTCAGAAGTCCTGGGCCGGTGGTGCC